CGCAGCCTGGGTGCTGCAACAGGGCAAGTGCTTTATGACCTGTGCCCTGACCATGCTGCGATTCCTTTTGTGGCCTTGAAGACCAGGAGGTGCTGCTGGCCCTTGGGGGTCCCCAGCAGCCCAGGGCTGCAGATATGGGTGGCTGCATCCCCGTGGTGGCCTCTTCCAGCCCTGAACCGCCTCTGGTGGGAAAGGCCGCAGAGATATGGGTGGCTGCATCCCCGTGGTGGCCTCTTCCAGCCCTGAACTGCCTCTGCTGGGAAGGGCTGCAGCTCTGCACTGTCAGAGCAGAGAAAATGAAAGCACCGAGTGCAGGTAGGTGCCGGGAAAACCTGGTGCCTGGCATTGCCATTGGGCAAGGGGCAGCCCGTGCCCAGGACCAGTGCAGGGCAAGGCCATTTACCCAGGTGCTGCCGGAGATGCACACCTAGCACAACGCGCCCGGTGCCAGCCATTCTCCTCCAGCGCGGCTGGGGCTTGTAGCCACCTGCTCAGATGCCCGGGAACTCAAGAACAGGAGGAGGGGAGCATCATGCCAGCTTGTTCCCAGCCCCACTTTGTCACCAGAAGGCCCGACCACTGCCTTTGTTATCCCTGACCCAGGCTGCTTTTGAGCCAAGGCTTCTCTGGCAAAGAATAAGCTGCTATTAACTGCAGGGGAGTTTTGAGATGCTCTGCAGCATGCATCTGTGACGGATGCGAGACTCGCGTGTCACATTTTTTGATAACTGCATGTTTCAAGTGTTCCTGCTGTCAAGACTTCTCCTCCCAAAGAGAAGAGAGCTAGAGGTTCAGAGCCAGCCCACGGAAAACCTGCAGGTGTCTGCACCTCGCTGCTGGCCTAGGGCTCAACACTCACCCACTCAATCTCACCTCCCTGGGAAAGCTTCAGAGCAAACTTCAAAGCCTACACATGCCTTAAAAGGCCTGTTTATCAGGCAGCCAGGAGAGCCTCTCATGCAATGCTCCTCTGGGCAGCCTGGCACTGCCTCTGCTGCCCTTTGCTGCGGAAGTTTGGATTCCCTTGCCCTCCCTCACACCCTTCCACCACCCACCACCTCTCACCCACAGAGTAAAACAGGCACGGTCCTCCTAACACATTGTAGCCAAATTCCAGCCAAGTTGTCCATCCCTGACTCTGGCTCTGCTCACCTCCTGTTGCCCCAAGCCCCATAGGGTTGGGTTTTGGAGTAAGTGTTACTCTCCCATTGCTCTGTCCCATTTTCAGGGACGAGACTATAAAATTGTTTTTGCTAAGAGTTAATGTCTATTCAACCAGATCTGCCTGCACCTGGGAAAACCTGCATGCCCAAGAATGAAGATTCCCAGGACGAGGAAGATCCTCAAGTCCAGGAGGAACATCAGAGAGGCTGCAGGACGGCTCAGGGCCCAGAAATGATTCCACAAAAGCCAGGGGTTACCCCTTTCCAGAAGTACCCTGCACCTGGCTTTCTCAGGCGCTGACTCAGAGGAGATCTGGGAAAAACCAAACCCAAAACTCCCCACACTGCCCCTCTTGGCCTCTGCTGACTGTTGGCAGATCCTTCCACACTGAGAAAGAGAAGAGCCTGTGCTGAACCTCCAGAGCTGAACAACTGACTCAGCCACAATCGCAGCAGCAGAACTAACACTTACCCCAAGAGCCCTGGCTACAACAAAAGCACTGTTTTGTGAGGTAACATCCAAAACCAGAGAAAGGGGATTCCTGTCCTCCAGCGTTTGCACTGGGGACATGAGAAAACTACACCACATTGTGATATATGAGAAGTATTAAGAGTTTCTGGAAGAATCAGTTACTTTCATGGTTTTTTGGAAACACCCACTGTTATTTACCAGAGCATACAAGTATAACAGCTAACTGAACCGAGCTCTCACGCTTGGAGGTTTTGAAGTTCCTAAGAAGCCTTTTCAACTGGGTATTTCTGTCTCACACCATAGTTTTAGAATTGACTTAAACCAGCACTGCCACTAAGCAGCATGGTCCCCTCCTCCTCCATCGCCCTCTCCCTCGTAAGGCAGCAAGCATTCATCCACTGCCGTAGTGAACGTGACAAGCTTAGTACTAACCCAGTAGAAAATGGGTTTGTTTTAGCCCAGAGGAGCCCTGTGATCCAGTTCACTGGGTGGTCACGAGAATAGCAAAAGAGGGAGGGTGAGGCGAGGGCAGGACCACGTCTCTCTCTCCCTGGCAGTGGCACTGATGGCAGAGCTGCACTGTCCGATGTGAGCATCAGTGTCCAGGAGTTCCCGACCAGGCACCCCGCAGCACGCCTGTGTCTGCCTCACACCCACAGCTCTCTGAGCTGGATTAGCATGAAGACAGGCCCACGCCTGCTTAACAAGTCCCATTTATCGTAAAGTCCTGCGCTCGGTACCCAAGCTGTGCCTGCAAAACATCAAGTACCCATTCACCTCGTGAAGTTTATCTGCTTTCTGAGTTTGCTTCTTCCGGCTCCTCTGGGCAGCAACTCGGTTTTTTTCTCTCCTCCTTACCTTCCTGTCATCTTCTTCATGACTCTGGAAGACATAAGCCAGAAACACCTCGCTGGTTTTTAAGGTGCACACGGAGACTCCCGATGTCAGGCGTATAAGGGCTGCTGAGCATGAGCACATACTCCCAATTTCACAGCACCTAACCCCGGCCTCCCACAAACCGCATGGTGCCTGCAAAGGGCAGCGCATCCCCCTGCCCCGCTGCACAGTGGGGCCCGAGGCGGAGGGGTGGAAGCCGGCAGAGGTGCCCGGGGGATGCCGCAGAGCCCCGCGGGCACTCGCTATACCGCTGATGAGGGCACCCC